GGGGGGGGGGGGGGCAGAGGGGAACATCTGTGCATGACCCTTCAAGCTACTGAACTGCTCTAAAAACAGATTCCTCAGCTCCATAAAAATTCTCCACCTTCAGTGGTCTTGCATTACAATGGTGTTCCATCTGCCCAAAAAGAAATACAAAATTTCTATCCCTTCTTGAGGTGAAGAGGAAGAATATAGGGTTTCTCCCTTCCTACTAGTGAGAGTTCTGGATCTAATCATCCCTCTCACCTGTGCTGTAAAACTGCATAAAAATTGAAAGTAACATTTTATGTGGAATTCCAAAAAAATATTGGTACTTGTGTAAAGGATACAGTATTAAATGTTGCGTCATTTAAAAGGACAGGTTTCAAGAGAGCTGTCTCCTGAACAAGGGTCATTTGAGATAGAGGCCCCTGGTATTTCAAGTGCATCTAAAACAGGGGCAGGCAATTATTTCAGCCGCAGGGCTGTTTACCGTATTTTGGCAAGCTGTCAAGGACCACAAGGGTAGCTCTGCCCCTTGACAAGTTGTTCAGAGGACACACATGATCTAGCTCAGCATACTGGCCTTCCCTTTGTTTTAAAGGGAAGGGCAGAAAGCTATACAGAAACAGAGTAAAACAGAAATAACTGAAACCTGTATTCATTTGACATTTTAGATTTTACATGCCCAAAGCCTACATAAAATATGGCTCAAAGTTCCTGTAAGAATTTCCTAACTTTTGTTCAAGTCACATCTCACTCAGTGCTCCCGGAACAGCAGACTGAGATACCTGTAGGGAACGTTTCTTTTAGTGGGACCAGTAGGTTGCACTATAACATAAATAAGCCTACCATTTTTTTTTTTTAACCATAGCTTACAACCAGTCCAGAGGAAACAAAGCAGAAGACAGACTAGAGAGGAGTCACAGAAGCAAAAACTTGGCTCAATTTGTTAAGTCTAGTCATGGCAAGGTTAATCAGGGAACTGGATCACCGAGACAGAGAGAGAAATAACATCAGTAGCTGTGGCAAGTGAACAATGCTGCAACAATTCTTTGAATTTAAAAGCATCTTAAAAAGAAAGGAAAAAGTTACCAGTCAAACAGTAGTATTCTTCTTTTATATACAAAAATGCAGGAAACATTCTTCCCCCCCCCCCCATTTAACAGCTAAAACAAAAACCAAACCTAGAGGTTGCTAAACCCCTTGACCACCATAAAAGATAAAGTTGCTTCCTTCAAGGCAACCTGAAGCTTTGAGGCTATTTCATATCCATTACCTTCAATACTTAGGAACAAGTGAGAAACTAGTACATCACTAGAGACATGAAGGGAAGAATTTTAAGAGAAAAAAAATGGAACTACTGAAAGAGTAAAAGTTAAGGGGTAAACTTGTGAAAACAAGTTTGTCACTTCCTTTGATTTACAGCCACAAACAGTGTCTGCAGAAGAAAATAAGCTGGCAGACATCTAACAGCTGGTCCAACAGTGGTACAAAATGGCTCTTGCTAAAAAAAGCAAAGGTGTTCAATGGCTGAGTAACCACATAAGTCACCACCAGACTCTTAACACAGGAATGGGCAAAGTGTCCCACAGGCCAGATTTGGACCTCCAATTGATTGTAGCTGGCCCGTGGCTGCCCCTGCCAGTGCTCCACATGGGGTCAAGTCCCACTTGCTCTATGCCAGTCCTGCCCACGTCCACCCTGCAACCACCAACAACATTGCACCAGCCCTGGCCAGGACCCACAGATTACTAGCAGGGCTGCTCCCGCTGCTGCTGACACTATCTGGGTACTGTTTGGTACACCCACCCTACTGCCTCCAGCGTCTCCTTGTCCTGTCCCTACTGCACTGCTCCAGGCAACAGGTAGCATGAAGACATGGCAGGAGCCACAGGGACATGTGCCAGGCACAACACACGCAACCAGGAAGGGAGGGAAGCTGCAGTCAGGCAGCTCCTGCCTCAGTGCACAGGGCTCCAGCTGCCAGCCACCTTCCACCTATTCTGCCCACCCAGCACAACGAGCAGCCACCTGCAGGTGGCCGAGTGGGTGAAAGGCAGTCCCACCGGGAAATTAAGCTTGGGCAGTGCTGTTGGCAGGTGCAGGCAGGAGCATGGTGCTAGCAGGCTTAGTCCCAGGTGGAACGCCGCAGAGTCAGCTGCAGGCTGGATTTGGAGGGCAGACTGTACATGTACCACACAACCCAGGAGCTCTGCTGCCTGCAACCCCTGCACCCCCATTTGCCCACCTTTGGCTGGCTCCTGGGACCTAGTATGAGGGCAGCCCTCCACACACGTGCGCTCCTCTCACCATTCTCCATGCCCCCCCCACCACACAGACAGTATACAAGAGTAGGACTTTATTTTGAGTTATTATGCAAATCAACTCTACATGTACTACTCAAAAAAAAGCATAAAAATCAGGACAGCAATTATTTTGGTAAATAAAATTAAAATGTTGTAGTAGACGTTTGGTTTTTAGTATATGGTTTTATTTAAATCTATAATTGTTACAATAATATCTTCAGAAAGACTGCGTGCGCTTGGCCCTCAACAGCTCACCCAAACTCATTAAAAGTGGCTCATTAGCCAAAATAATTGTGCACCCCTGCCTTAACAGGTATGCGACAGGGGTTATAGATTAAATTATAGTAGTAATGTTTATACAAGTTGCACTAGAAAATAAAGCGGCCTTACACTTATAACATGGAGGGGAGTAAAAGGAGGCAGCAGATATCACTGAGCATTTTACATTCGAGGAGTGCTTATCCTCCAGAAAAAGAAATAGAATATTACTGCTGTCACTGAGAAAAATGTTAATTACCCTTAGACCTCTCCAGGTGTCTGATTAGGGCAGTCATTTTGGATTCAGGGCTGCCCATATAAACAAGGCATTTCACTGCTGGAATGAGGGCAACATTGCCTGGCTGCAGGTATCAACTGGAGGTATGGGAGGAGCTGCAGGGAATGGTCAGAAGGCTCCTGGTCCTGGGCATGATCTAGAACTGCACCCTGCCAGGAGTGGGTGGCCTGGTGGGGCTCCCAGTGGCATGGGAGCCCCCAGGAAATGCCAGGCCAGTTACCACCCCAGTGGAAGGTGGGTCAGGGAGCCTTAACCCCAGCTCCCACAACTGGGTGGGTTACCCCCTTGTAGGCTCTGGAAGGTGGACCCCAGCAAGAGAGCAGGGCCATAGACTCAAACCTGTCTTGACATCCCCTGACCAGTCCATGCTGGAGCCAGGACGGGAAAGGTCGAAGGGCCAGGGCCCACCGCAACGGACATCCAGAGCTGAGGGCCTGGGGTTCTGACTGGCCTGGAGGTGGACCAGGGCCAGTAGAGCCAGGTCCCGGGGGGGCCACACCCATAAGGGGGAAGCAGCTCAGGGAGTTACGCAGCCTGGAATGAAGGTAGAATAGGCTGCCTGAATGGAGGGATCAAGGCAGGGTTCAAATAGCAGGATTCTGGGGCCCAGTGTGGGGTCGGTAAAGTGGATAACAGCTGGATGCCAACTGCGAGGCTTGGGCTGCGGTGTAGGGGAGGAATGGAGCCACAGATAGTGCCCCCTGGCATCAGGGCAAGAAATGGACAGCCTCCCACTTAATTAACAACAATCAATCATCATCAAGGCATGGTGGACGAGAAGGCAGGCAGTTAGCCCAGAAACAGGTGGGCAGGCCACAGGGAAAAAAAAAAAAAAAAAAAAAATCGGTCCTGAGAAGGCCCCCTATTACAAAGCTATACAATTATCATAATGTTTCCACTTCCACCCAGGCTAAAGGTTCCTATGAGCTAGAAGCAGCAAGTCAGAACACTGACTTTATTTGATAATAAAGCCCGAGTGCAATAGTCTTCCCAGAAGTATACATCAGAAATTCTTGTGTTCAAGGTATCCCTGAAATTATCATTTTCTGAGATGAACACTTCTAAGCATGACATTTCTGCAGTTCCACTTCAACCCAGTCAGTTTACCATTCCTAGATACCCATTACTTTCCCTTTGCAGAGTGCTCTATCTCCTTCATAACCAGAAATCAGAAGTGGAAACCATGGGTGCCTATAGACATGCTGGGAGGCTCTTCTGACATACTGCAATTACAGCGCATCAGAGCAGATTCAAATAAATCGAGTCTGCTCCCCCACTGCACATGTAAAAAAACACCCCATGATCTATTTTATCAAAACTGGATTTGGTTTTCACTGTAATGATTACTTAATTTGTTGGCATGAGGCACACAGTAATTTTTTTTTTTTGGCCAAAGATGAAGTATTTAAAAAAGAAAGAAAAGAAAACCTTAAAATTCAGTCTATACAAACTTTTCTTTCTAACTTCAGAGTGCTTACAGCTCACATTTCAGTTCCAATGAGTCCATAATTATTCATGAGGTTAGAAAGTTAATGTTTTTTTAAAATTCTATACAGGCAGTTAAAAAAAAAAAAAAAAAAATCTCATGAAGAGCCCCTGGCTATTGTTAAATCTTCTTATATTTGACCTCTAGTGCAAATAAGTAACAGTTTTTATTTTACAATGAGCCATTCACACTCAAAAGGTATGTGGAAATGTATACAATCAAATTATAACCAACCTTTTCTGTGACTGTATGAAAGGCTGCTTGACAGGAAGGCAATTTCAGTAGAGTCTAAAAGGAAAAAGATAAGAAGCGGTGAAAGTATGCACAATTTACAGATTATGACCACATCTAAACAGGTATGGTCCAAACACAGACAATAACTTACCCCATTACCTGGATTAGCTTTTGTGACCCTTATTGTGCTTATGAGTTTCTTCAGTCCACAAAAAAGTGTGCTATTACATACTATGTAATCTACCTACCCACCTTTGGCTAGTCTATAAAGCGCACATGTACCCTGATTTTTATTTCACTTCAGACTAGCATGGTTAACCATGTCCCCCTGGTTTGCCTGTCCAAGAACTGCCTCCCCACCAATCTGTTGTATTCAAATCACCCTCTCCGTTTTACACGCTACTCTGTGCATGATCTCTCACCGCACCCAGTGAAGCAAGCTTGGGTTCAGCTTATGCTCTGGTCTCCCCTCTCTCTCTGGTTTAGTAAGTCTATAAAGGTGAAAGTCTACCCTGCCTTCTGCCACATCTAAACAAGCCTTCTGGATAGTAAACCATTTCTTGGATTACTTAAATTTGAGCTGTCAACAACCTACTGGTAAAATCACAATACCTCCAGGTGCACAATGCGCTCCATCTTAAAAAGGAGTGCACTGACCTTTCACTCAAAAACCAAACAAACAAAAAACCCAAAAAACAACCAAACAAAAACATCACAGTTTATAACACATTACACTGCCATTCTTGGATTTTATCCAAATATTATACCTTGTGTACCCTCAAATATTCAAATCCTAGAACTTATTCCACATTTCAAGTGTTGCCAATGATAAAAGATTTCAAGTGTAGTCTCCAATTAAATTAGTGCTATACTATATATTAGGGCTGTGCGAAGCTTCAGGTGCCAATTTGATTCAGAGGAGATTTGGCCCTATTCAGCAGCGGAATCCAAATCAAGTCAGGGGACTGATTAAAAGGTATGAAGCTTCAAAGATTCCCACCCGCTGCAACAGGGAGCTGGAGCTGGACCCAGACTCCATGCTGGAAAGTAGGGGGCGGGGAAGGGGAGGAGACCATGGGGGGGGGGCCTGCCATGGCCCATCCCCTGCCTACTCCCTCAGCCCCCCCCCAAGCACCCCATGGGGGGGGCTCGTGGCAAAGCCCCCCCATGCAGCATAGGTCAGTGGGAGGTAGTGGGGATTGCCCCCCACCCCGACCACCTGATGAGTGGGGGATTTTTTTTTTTTTTTTTCCGAAGAACCGGGAGCTGGGGCCTGTGTGATTCCAGCAATTCAGATGATTCGGCAGCAGCTGGATCTCCAAATCAGATTTGGCTGAATTGATTTGGGACAGTGATTCAAATCACCAAATTGAATCACTGTCCCCCAAAAATCAGCTGAATCTGAAGCGAATATTAGCCACTCCACACAGGCCTTATATATATAAAACTTTTACAACCACTTCAAATAGTGGGTTGCTACAACCTTTTGCTTTGCTCCCAAATGAAAAGTTTACTACATTTAAGGGAACTAAGCTGAATTTTTAACTCAAAACATGAGCTGGAACAGCTTCCTGGGGTCTGTTTTATGTTCACAAACAGCAACTACACTTCACTGCTTTATGTAAGAATCCAAATGAAGACACACCATCACCTCCCCATCAGACATGTCTCTCGCCTTTGCCCACAAGTGGAACCTAGGAAGCATTTTTCATCATCAGGCCTCTTTCCTTCAGGTACACAGTATACATATACAAACAAAGTAAAGATTCAAGGATAAAACTCAGTCAATTAAAAAAAAAAAGGGGGGCGGAGGGGAAGCAAGCAACAGGCTACTGATTTTTCAGTGTTACCTAAAATACCCTGAAAAAGCATTCTCTTGCCCTTGCTTCAGCATTTTCTGTAGTTTCCTTTATGTAAAATATATGCTTGAGACCCAAAGGCAGCAGTCCTCTGAACACAACAGTTTTGAAATTGGAGCGCACACCCCAGTTGTCAGTCCCAGATTCATTTCTGACCTTTTCTATATCTGAACTATTTGGATAAGTTATGCTCCCTTTGTTTATGCTGCTGAGAACACTGACCACCACCGACATTACAAGTCTGAACTACAGTTTTCAAAATGCTCCATTTTTAAGTCCCATTTTATTTAAGGAAACTAACCAAACCAGTCATTCCTGCTAGAGGCAAGCAATGGGATATTATTAAAACACAGACCAACAACAGGAAATCTAGTCAGAAAGAGTCATAGTTTAGGCTTATAAAGGCAAACACTGTAGACTACTATTGAAGTAACTGTCCAACAACTTAAACATACATGATCCGAGTCATGAAATACCCAACGGAAGTATCAAAAGATACCACTGTTATACAGGTTGGCTATTCTTTACTCTTTTCTGAGGAGTAAGCCTGCTATACAATCTCAATGAACAAAAGGAAATTTGTTCCACCTTCCAGCTGTTGCGCTTCCTCATGCAGCCATGTTTAAACAATTCAAAGATTACTGGGAGAGAGTTGTTTAAACATGCAATAGCCCATAACATGCAAAAATCTATTTGCATGTTTGTGAAATAGGACATACAAAACCCATTTTTTAAATGGAAATGAAAAGACAAATATTCAGGTTAATAATACAACTTTGGAGACATAATGGACAGACGATGCAAGAATTCTGTAGAGAACAAGGAAATAATGTAGAAACACAACTTAAGTCAGAAATATGTGATGACACGTTCATAATGTAATGTAAAAATATTAGACTAGTGTCAGTTTTGGTTATTGGGAAAAAGATATAGTGCAACTTGTGTCCTCACGCACTTCCCTAATTATGTGGCAACTACAAAAAAACAGGAAGACAACATCAAGTATCTCCTGCTCCCTTCCCCTATCACTTCCTTACCACACA